GGCTTCCTGTAGTCAGCCGCTGGTCAGTTTCAGCAGCGGCTGAATCTGGACGCCAGTTCCGACTTACGTACAAATTCAACTTAAGAACAAACCTACAGTCCCTATCTTGTACGTAACCCGGGGACTGCCTGTACCAGACAAATCCCGCTTGTGCAAGAGTCAAAATGCTTAGAAATGATCTGATATGCAGAAGCTCCCTCCAGGCTAGTGACAGAAGCTGGATGTTTAGCTATGGTGCTGCTAGCTATACTGGGGCACTCCTTGTTCGTAAGAACAGAATTGCATCAGACCAAAGGTCCATCAAGCCCAGCAGCCTGTCTGCCAACAGTGGCCAATGCCAGATGCTCCAGAGGGCATGAACAGAACAAGTAATCATCAAGTGATCCCTCTCCTGTCATCCATTTCCAGCCTCTGACAGACAGAGACAAGGGACACCATTCTTTACCCATCCTGGCTAATAAGCATTGATAGACCTAACCTCCATGAATTTATCTAGCTCTTTTTGGAACCCTGTTAAAGTCCTGGCCTTCACAATATCCTCTGGCAAGGAGTTCCACAGGTTGACTGTGCGCTGCGTGAAGAAAAACTTCCTTTTGTTTGTTTTAAACCTGCTACCTATTAATTTCAAAAGCCATTCTTGATTAGCACCCACATTGCTTAGCAGTCCAAACTTTACCAAGCACTGTTAAGCAGAATCTGCCCTCTCTTATAAGGGGCATCTTTACTAGGCCAACTGCAAGGGAAAATAATTCTAAAGTAGCTGCTGGTGTCGGGAAGCTACTTTTAAAACTTCAGAGGGAACAGAAGGTGCAGTGAAGAGCTAATGTAGATCCTTCCCAGACAGAGGAAACTGCGGCACAAGAACGCTTTGTCTTGCTCCCCAGAACCACTACACAAACTGCTCACAGGGCAGGGGCAAAGTCTGGGATCTCGCCACTAAAATGCCAGATAGTCTGTGCTCTCTAGCCCTTATGTCAGTCCTGGTACCTGTGGCCATGTCATAGTCAGTTTTTGCTTTCTCCAGTTCTTGACAGAGCTCTTGGTTCATTTGCTGGAATTCTCTGAGCTTGACCAGGGATGCTTTCTCTTCTGCCTCTGCCTCATTCTCCTCCTCTTCTGAAGCCTCCTCAATCTCGGTACCACTGAGAAGCTCTTTTTCCATGTCTTCTTGTCTTAAGCCCTTTTGCTGCATTTCTGAATACTGTCAGGACAAAAGGACAGAAAGAATTTGGAACGGTAAAGCAAAATGCAGCCTTATGCAGAGATAGGTCATATAAAGCTCCTTTTCTGGAGCAGAAAGTTTGGGGGGGCAGGAGTCTAGCTCTGGAGTTGCGTCTGTGTCTGTTGTGTCCAGTGCCAGAGCCTCTGGGGATCTTACAATGTCTAGATACTTAAAAACATACAATTATGGGCATCATGCGCCTGTAGGCACAGCTCATAAGCCCAGTGCTGGAAGTTCATTAGTGGGCCTCCTGCCTAATTTGGTCCAAATGCAAAGACACCAAATCCACTGACAGTGAACTTGACCCATAGCTAGGCCATGTCTCCAGGTTACTGCAAGAGAAGAGGATTCTGAATATTTGGCTCTTTTACCCATGAGCTTCTGAAACGTGCTATGTTGGAGCTCCTGTTTGTGTCTGTGAGGTTGGATGTTCTAGTCTAAATGTTTCTTTCTAGGCCCCCTCTGCACAATTAGCAGGATTAATGTATTTTAAGTTCTGTCCACACTGATCTCTAGTTTCTGTGGTTAGACAATTTCCCTAGTATCTTTACAACAGTGCACCCAGGAAGGAGGAATAAGTTCTATTAATCTTGTTGTAGATCTTAAAACTCTACTCCTAAAACACACACACTCTGAAAAGTAGGGACAAACTTTTCTTTCGGTTCTACTTGTAAATCTGGTGTGCCTTCATGTACACGGACTTAACCAAAAGCAGAAATTGGTTTGGAGATGTTAATCTTAATTATTCTTTATAATTAGGTTTCTAAATGCTTTAGATTTCTGTACACACATTCCCATGTCTACAAATCAACGACCCAAAGGTGACAGGGGAGAGAAATCTAGAGGATGCAGTCACTAGCAGCCACACTTAGTAGTAATGTGAAAAGCAAAGACTTATATAGACTCCTCATTCTATTGTCAATTTATTTTGCCATATCTGGCTAATGCAGATCCTCTTTCACCTCCTTTTCCAGTTGCTGTAGTTCCTCCTGGTCTTTCATCAGGGACTTGGACAGGCTGGCAATCCTGGAATCCAGTATTTTATCAGAGTAGATCAGTTTTAATTTTAAGCATGCCACCTCCTCTCTCAAATCTTCTTTAGTGCCACTTGGTCCTAGACCATCCTGCACTGTGCTGCTTACACTGGACATCTTCGTCTTGCTGTCATCAGCTACCGGGTCTGCGGCTACGTCTTTCTGCAAGGGAAAATTTAGTGTGAGGGAAACTACCTAGGAAGTGAAACGTAGAAGTTGCTTTTCACAGCCCTCACTTGCACCATGTAAAGGGAAGAGCTTAGTGCACTAACCACAAATACACCTCACTTTGTCAGGGATTCTTAGGGTATGTCTACACTGGCACCCTCTTCCGAAAGAGGGATGCAAATGAAGACATTCAAAATTGCAAATGAAGCCAGGATTTAAATATCCCATGTTTCATTTGCATATTCGCATTATGGCACCATTTCTAAATAGCGCTATTTCGAAATTACAAACGCTGTTAAGACGCGGTTATTTTGAGAGAAAACCCTTCTCTTGAAATAACCCTTATTCCTCATACAATGAGGTTTATCAGTTATTTCGAGAGAAGGGTTTTCTCTCGAAATAACTGCGTCTTAACAGTGTCTGTTATTTCGAAATACAGGCAGTCCCCGGGTTACATGGATCCGACTTACATCGGATCCCTACTTACAAACGGGGTGAGGCAACCCTGCACTAGCTGCTTCCCCCCAGCAGACCAGGGAAACGCGGAGCGGCTTTTCTCAGCAGACACCTCAGCTTGAGAATAAAGGACTGAGGGAAGTGAGGTGTGGGAGAATAAAACTGAGCTCTGGAGAAATGTTTGGCTAGAGTTTCCCCTACAATATGTACCAGTTCCGACTTACATACAAATTCAACTTAAGAACAAACCTACAGTCCCTATCTTGTACGTAACCCGGGGACTGCCTGTAGTGCTATTTCGGAATAGCGCCATAATGCAAATATGCAAATGAAGCATGAGATATTTAAATCCCGGCTTCATTTGCAATTTCGAATATCTTCATTTGCATCCCTCTCTCGAAAGTGGGTGCCAATGTAGACATACCCTTAGTGGCAGACCTCCACAATGTTTCTGGGGAAGCGAACACTGTGTTTGGAAAATGAGGCACCACCGAGCCCTCTCTGACTCCAACCAGCACAGTCAGTGGCTCTCCGATGCGCATAGTCTTCGAAGCGAGGCTGCTGGTGGAGAGTGTCGTCTGAACATAATTACCCAGAATGCTCTTCCCTCTCGCTGTGTTACTTGTGAACTCCGAGCCCAAGGGGGGCCTTAAGTAGCTTTTATTGGAGCATCACTTCCTCAGTCTGCTGGGTTTGTTGCTTGGCTGGTGTGTGCGCCTGTTGGAGGAAATCTCCTTTCTGCTTAGACCATAGAGACAGAAGGGACCACCAGGGTCAGCAGCAGCTTTTCCACTAGCGGTGACCACTGCTCATATTTTGTCTCTCGCTGTGAAATCTACAGGGAAAATGAGCACAAGTCACCTCCTCTGGGATGACACTGTCCCTCCCGAGCATGTTCAGATGCTTCTTGAGAGTCTCTATCTCCTCCCTGAGGACAGAGATCACATCATCCTTCTTCACACATTCTGCCTCACATCTGGAAAGACGATTAATCTCCTCTCCCATCATCAGCAAGCATCGCTCCTGGGAACAGAAAGAGGCAAAGTGGCCGCTCAGACGATGCATCTGAAGTTTGATGGGATATTGGCGGGCAGGAAAAAGATGGAGGAGTGGCATACAAGTGGAAGAAATACTGTAGTTCAATACCTGCCCATTTGTAGGGAATGTGATGGCATCTAGTCTAGGGATGTAAGTGAGTAGCTGAGTACTTGACTACCTGATGAGCCTAAGCTTATCGGGTAGTCGAGTACTCAACTACTCGCTTCCCCTCCCCTGCTGCCTCTATATGAGCGGCAG